GCAGAACATGTGAGGGACCCCAAGCTCTATCAGACACTGCCAGAATGACTCAGCACTTTCATCTCCGAGGGGGCCTGTGTAAACGTGGTGGGGAGCACATCTGCCCCTCTCATCTATCTGATGCTAACAGTGAAGGGGTTGATGACTCTGTGCGTATCTAGAAAAGGGTGTGCAAGAGTTGATTCCAGCTCATGATTCTGCATCAGGAGCAGACAGTTGGTGCCTGCGGCCAGAAGTGGACAATCATGAGGCACTCAGAGTATGCAGCATATCTGCTGGCCCAGCTCTGCAAACATTTCAGCACAACTGCTGATAACATCCAGTCCCGGATCACCAACTCCTTCACCAGGAATGGGTGGATGAAGACTCCTGGTCTCTATTCATTATGATTCCATCTTTGTAGGGCTGGCAGAACTGGGGCACCATGAGCTCCAGACTGATCTACCATGGAGAGAGCAGGAGGGGGAGAGCTAGATGACCTGTACTGAGTAACACCACTGCATTAGAGCTGACCACGAGCACAGCTGCTCCTTGAAACACTGTGCCCATGTTCTGGCAAAGTTGGATGCTATCTGGTAGAATTTGGGTGCCTCCTTTGCTCCCACGTGGTCAAGGCTCATGCCCACACAGCTCTCTGCAGGCCCATCTGGTAAAGAGGACAACACTGGCTGTCAGACCCTGGATTACTGAAGGTCCCTGGATCCATGGTCTGGGTAAGCCACTGCTCCTCCTCCAGTGCCTCATCAACCCAACAGGCCCTGTCCACCTATGCTCCTGGTCTGGGTTCTACCACCACCACCACCTCCCCTGTCACTACCACCATCCTGAGGGGCAGCCCATTGTCAAGCTGGTCTCTCTAGCCATAACCACACCCTAGCATTGCTCCCTCCTGGCTAAAGAGTGGCCAGAAATGCAATGTGGTGTCTTCTCCAACTGGGGAGGGCAAGGGAGGCACCATCTCATCTCCTACCCTTTTCCAGACCCTCCCCAGTCCTCAACCCCTTCCCTTCTAGGGGGAATTGGGGGAAGCTGGGGATGGGATAGTCCCCCTCCAGCTCCAGGGACTCTAAAAGTTAATGGCTCCTAGTCCCTGAATCTAGCTTTCCTCAGCCTGAGGCTTATTACTGTCACATATCTGCCCATCTTTTCTCCTCAGATTCCATCTCCTCACACACACACACACACACACACACACACACACACACACACACAAACAACAGGCTGGGTAGAAGTAGTAAGCTACTTCCCCCACATTATTTTCTTTTTAGATATTGTACCCCCATTTCCTCAGAATGAAAGTTTGATTTGTTAAAAAAAAACACAACCCAAAACAAACCAGAAAAACCATGAAAATGCCATTTTTCAGCATTTCTGTGGGATTAGCAGTAATGTATGAAGAGAACAGCATACAGCTGACACTGAGTAATAGTTATTTTAGATGCTGTAGATGGGGAAGGGGGAGGTACAGAACTTTTATTTTTAATTTTTTTCTCCCACCCTCACTTCCTCCTCCCTGGAACTTTTAAAGTATTTTCTTCCACTCTGAAATTCTTTGTTTCATTTCCCCCCCAGTTAAAAAATTGTGGTAAAATACTGAAAGCATGAAATTTATCATCCTACCCATTTTTTCCCCAAAGAACTCAGAAGTTTATTACTGAGCTAATCTACTGGGTACAGAACCATACAAAGAGAAAAGCTGTCATAAAACAGTGGCATTTTCAGTGTGGCATGCTAAGGTGCTACTCACCTCAAAGCAGCATAAATATGTGTGCAGCTCCTTACAGCCACCCATTTTGGTTCTTTTCCAGTGTCTCCTCTTGTACTTATACCTGGTTTTATTACCAGTTTTCATCTGAATCCAAAAAATGGGGAACAGGACAATACAGCTGTCGTTTCTTGGCCAGGAATCACTTGATGCTGAAAGTCTTGTGAGGAGACATGGTGAGGAGCAGAAGGTGGAGCCAAGGTCATCTTACCCATTTTTATTTTTTTTTTTTTACTAGATTTATTTTTGCATAAGAGAACTGCAGTACAGGCCATAGATGTGGGGGTTGAGAGGATTCACCAGAGACAGAACAGGCAGATCTACTGAAATACACTGCTGAAGGGAGCAGCAGGAGAGACAGGAGAGGTCAGCTGGGTTAGGTCCCTGGCTGGGAATCTAACTTGTGCTGTAGTAGCTGCCAATAGCTTCATAGTGCTACGACTTAGCCCCTTGAGCCACCAGGGAGGTCCTTTACCCATTTTTAGATGCCCAGTTGAGTGGTATTACATACATCCATGATGTGGTGCAGCCAGCATCACCCTCCTCCCCAGAACTCTTTTCATCTTGCGAAACTGAAACTTTGTGCCCTGTTAAACTATTAATCACATCTCTCCTCTCTCTAGGGTCAGGCAGCCATCATTCTACTTCCTGCCTTTAATTTTGATTACTGTTTCATATAAGTGGAATTACATAGTATTTATCTTTTTGTAACTGCCTATTTTCATTTCACATAATGTTCTCATGGTTCATATGGACAAAGGTCAGAATTTCCTTTTTTTAGGACTAAAGAAACCCCATCTTATGTAAATATCTACTACATTCACCTGCTACTGGGTACTTGGGTTGCTTCCCCATTTTAGTTATTGTGCTTAATACTGCTGTGAGTCTTGGTACACAAATTTCTGCTCTCAATTCTTTTGGGTCTCTGATCAGAAGTGGAATTGCTAGATCATTGCTACTGAGTAATGCTACATGTGTAATTTTATTTTTAATTTTTTTTTTATGGAACTACCTTACTGTTTTCCAGGGGCCATAATTTTTCACATTCCCACTGAAGTGCGTAAGGGTTCGAGTTTCTCCCCATTACTACACTTTGGTTTTGGGTTATTTTTTTCTTTGATAACAGCCATCCTAATGGGATGTGAGATTCTTTGTTTCATTTTAAGTCATTCTGGAAGTTAAAGATTTATTCATTGGGGTTAATAAGCACTCTTTTAAAAGGCAAATATATGTAAATACTATCGATCTCTCTTATCTTCTTGGGTCAATACCAATTCCTGGTAGTAACTGCTCTTGTGTGTATTGACCTTTTCACTGATGGAACAAAAAAGAAAGAAAAAATACAAACCAACCAGTAGGAGAAACCCCTTTAGCATGAATCAAGGCTGCACCCTATACCTGAGTCAATGAATTCCTTACTGCCACAATTAATGCAATAAAGACAAAAGATTTAACCCATCCTTGACAAAGCAGTCCAAATAACAAATTTTAGGAGTTCTCTCTCTAGACTATATGTCTTTAATGTTATATGTAATGAAATTGGAGATGTGCATAAAGCACTTTTGCTGCTTACTGAAGTATATGGTTGGTTGGTTTATACATGTGATTTGAACTATATGCTTTCCCCACACAGAATACCATTTTTGTATGAATGAATAAGTGAAGGCTAAACCATGGTTATTCAAAGTTGGATATTTGAGCAACCTATGCCTGCTATCTCAAGGAAAATGACTTTAAAGTATTTTTTACCAATGATAAAATTTGAGCTTTTACACAAAAAGTATAACTCCTGGTGGCACAGGAGTTAAAGTGTCTGCTCTATCAAGCTATTGCCAGCCACTGAGGCAAGAGTTCGATCCCCAGCCTGGGAGCTGACTCACATGGTGCAGCAGACCTCTCCTGTCTCGCCCCCTGCTCCCCTCAGCAGTGTATTTCAGTAGATCTGTCTGTTCTGCTCCCCACTCTGTCTCTGGTGAACCCTCTCACATTCTCCCCACACTTCTGGTCTATACCCCAGTTCTTGGATGCATAAGTAAATCTTTTTAAAAAATGGAGGACAGACAGGCATAAGGAAGCTACACTAGCACACTGGTTGAGGCAAGGTCACTGTCATTTAGGAGATGGCTAGGCTCTACCAGGCAGATTACCTCAGTAGTGTTGACCAGATAATTCCTGGTTGACTGCCATAAGATTCCATTTCTGGGTGAGGCCCAAACTGTAAGTTTCCATTCATTGTTGTGGGTCTTAGCATAAGGGATGGATTTTGGCCTCTCCTGTTTTTAAAATAATTTAACAGTTTGCTATTTTACACAAGTTAATAAATGCCTTTGAATTTCTCAATTTTAATTTCTGATTCAGTGAATATCCCACATAAACAAAAGCTCCTGGGGTCCTTAAATAGTGTTTAAGAATATAAAAGGATCCCAAAAGTTTGAGAAAAGTTGCTTTTAGGTATGTGCAATAATCTCCACTTTTACAATGTGGAAACTGGGGCTTATAAAAGATTTCGGACAGTTTAAAGCCACACTATCAGTGCAGCGCGGTGTACCAAGGTCGCCGAAGTCTAGACTTGTATTAGTGACCATCATTTATGCCTTGATATTACCTTTTGCTAAAACAAATCTGTAAGCATTTTTCAACAACATAAAATCTTCATCACGTTCAACAGATTTTTCTTCCTTACGAGCTGCACGATCTTTCGTCTCCCTGAGTGAAGCCCGGCTTGCAGGACCGTCTCCGTTCGGTTTGCGCTCTGACGTCTGTGGTGTCACTAATCTGAGGTGGAGACCCTTGGATAATTCCGCAGACTGCGACCCACCCCGTTTAAATGGGACTCGGCGGGGCTCCGAGGCAGTGGGCGTTTTCTCCTAGCGTCCGCCCCCCTTCAAGACCGCGTTTGCAGAAGGACCTCAGCGGCCACACCTCTTCTCACCTGGGCGCCCGGAAAGCGTTCCCGGGCCTCCGATTGGCTGGCCTGTGGCCGATGGGCGGGACGCGGCCCTGGATTGGCCGTCAGAGCCCATTCACCCTCCAGTGTCCCAGGTGAGTTTTGGGGAATCCGGACTCCAGTCCCGGCCAGGGCCGCGGAGCCACGCCCCCGGGGAGCCGGACTCTCCACTTGGAACCCCGGCTTGCAGGGGCGGGGCGTCCTGGGCCCCCGGGACTGGAGTGTTGGGAGTCGTCTCCCATCGTGCACCGGGGCCCCGGCGCCTCACCCGGAAGGAGAAGCCCTGACTCTGGCTACATGGTGGGGCGCAGGCGGTGTCGCTGTGGGGCTTGGGTGCCGCTCTCAGGTGAGGGGGCGTGGACGGGGCGTCGGGGAGTGGGTGCTGCTTTCAGGTGAAGACCGGGGGTTAAGCGTCGGTAGTGGCGCTGAGAGTGGGGACCTCGCTTGACATCTTAGAGAAGAGGCTCTCACCTCCCGGGATGAAGGCAGGTGCCTGCCCGGAAACCCGGCTCTTAAGCATTTGTTTTTAAAGTATGAAGCATCTTTCCTTCCCACGCCCCAGACGTACTAGGCAAAGAAGGAGAACATCCTTGGGGCCCTTTTGCTCCTACTTGGTTCCGAGTGCAGGGTGAGTGCCCATAGGGAAAGAGTTTGGGGCATTTACCCGAACAACTAGGAGTAGGGGGAACGGCGAGTATTTTACGGGGAGACAGGAGATTCGTGTTAGGTCGTGGTCGCTTTTGTGACTTACCTTCCGAGTGGGAGGAGGAGCAGGTTACGGCTTAGCTGCCTGGCTGAGAACAAACAGCTTGGTCGTCTGTGGATACTTAGGAAGGATTGCCTTTTCACTTGCCATCTGCCATCTGATACCAAGGGCTCAAAGATGAGTAAGAAGGAATGGGAGTCTCAGCGATCAATATACTTTTATCAAGGGACTTATTTTTTTAACTTGTCTCTCGAAGTAGTTTAAAATGGAACAAACATACTCGGGTTAAAGCCTTGAATTATTGCCATGCATTATGATGACACTGGATAGTTTTACAAGGACTCTACTTTGTAAACAACAAGCAACTGGATTCCTCCTAGAGATATTGGTGGTCGCACAAATGGAGAAAGTGAAATTCAGATGTGATTGAAGGGTCCCTGGGGGAAATATATATATATATATATATATATATATATATATACACACACACATATATATATACACACACCATATATAATATATATTATATATATATATATACACCATGTATATATACATGGTACTGAGTTGCCTGAGTAGCTGAGAGGGTCACACACTAGCCCTATGGATGACACACAGATCCTCTCCCAGATCATAGAGCTAGAGCTTAAGCTAAGAACTTCCTTCTTCCTTACCAGATCAGAAAGTGAGCTTCAACTCCCCCTGAAGAGGGGCATTTGGGAGGGGGCTGATGGAGAACTTCCTAGAAATTATTACTCACTGTCGAGGTTTTTGAATTTGCTCTGAGGTTTTTGAATTTACTCTGGAGTTTAAGGAAAATTACAAGCAAAACTTTCATTGTGCCCTTTTAACTTAGATTCAGATTACAGCATCTTAGGGTTGTAGGATTTTTAAAAAGCCACTTTATAGCTATTTTTTCCCAAGTGGTATTAGCCCCAAAGGAAAAGAGAGGAACTTTCGGAGGTGGTGCAGAGGCCTAGAAAACTCCTTGAGCCCAAGAGAATGATGACCATTTCGTTTCTAAGTTGCCGTCCTGAATTGGGTAAACCTTTCAAGTCACAGGAGTTGTGTGAGCTCTACCGAGTGTGTGGATGACTGTGGTTTCCTTATCATTACACTTACTGTCCTCCTGTGAAAAGGCGGAATATTTAACTCTGAGCTTCTGTGCTGACAACTTTTAGCAAATGCCTCAAAGTAGAAGAGAATTTTATTTATTTGTTTTGGTAATTTGAGGAGGTTACTTGTACACAGCAAGTTAGCCTGCTCTTTTTGGTTACCATTCGACTGTTTACATCCAGGAAATTCTCCATGGGTTGTTAGGAAATTGGAATTTCCTCACTTTCAGCTCAGGACCCTTGTGTGATGGTGACTATATCAGATGAAAAATGAGATCGTCAGCAAATACCGTTGAAGATGGTATTGCAGTGATAAAGCCTTTGATTTGTTCGACAGTGTCACCCAACTTTGTCACGTGCCATGCAGCTTTGCCTCTGTGTGCAGTGTCTGTGTATGGAGAGACCTGCTGGAAAGAACTGCAAAAGCTGTTTGCTCTGCTAATTTTGTGGTGTAAATGAGTTCCCCTTCACTCTTGAAATGTTAGCCTGTGTTAGCAAAACATAAAATAGAAGGAAACTCATTACACACTCTTCTAATGGTGAGGCAGAACTAATAAGAGAATGTGTTTAAAATTAATTGTGGGACCGGAAAAATGAGTGGGTGTGTGAATGGGCATGGGGGGAGGAGAGGGAGCGCTCAGAGATAGTCTTATTTTCCCAGGAGCCAGCCCGGATCATTTGTTGGCAGTACATATTGGCTGAAGTCAGTTTTCATTTCAAGGTAAATTGGAAAGGGAAATTAAACCTTATTGTTCCGCTCTTAAGAGAGGAGAAGGGGGTGGAGGCGGCAGCCAGGGTGGATGCTGTTTGAGTGGTTCTAGGAGTAACAAGATTAGTGCTGTATTTTAACAGAAGGTGACATCATGGCCCCCTTTGGACTTGAGTAACCCTGTGCTGTAGCCTTCATGGTCCCCTTGTCGGAATGGGCGATGTCGCTGCACTTGTAAACTGCCACATTGGGGGAAATCAGGGGCTTAGGCTTTAATGAATCTTTACAAAGGAGCGAAAAACATCCTGAGTCGACCTGTGCGGCTGTCGGGTGCTTGGGCAGAGGCACAGACCGGATGGCATGTCAGAAAGGAAATGATTAGAACCACTGGCTTGGGTTCCAGAGAACCAGTTAGTAAGATAAGGTCACAACTGGGCCACCCACTCATGTGCTCCCCAGTGCTGCAACCTCTGTACCTCCGGGGAGGTGACTGGTTAGCCAGACAAAGGGAAGCTTAGGAGCATGATTTGCTGGGGTTGGAGGGGGGGCGGCTGGCTTGGTTGTTGCTGAACTGCCAGGAGGGGGCGATGTTAGATGCACTTGCAAAGCTGTGCTGCTTTTGTGCCCAAGAGACTGTGCTTTGCCTGCAGTCCTCAGGCAGAAAGGTTTTACGAGGCAACATGTCTGTCCTGGCTGCCATAGACAGATACTGGGCAAACCCCAACAGGCTTAGGGCACAGGTGGCCTCGTGTTAAGGATTCAGGCCACGGTCTGAGAACGGACGCAAATCCCCTAGGGCTTTTAGCTTGACACTGAGCGAATGTGGGGGGTTTTTCGCTTCCTCTTTAAGTTTTACACAAGAAAAAAATAGTTGCCTGGGTTTTCCCAGGGAGGCCAATTAAAATTTTTCAGGGTTTTGCATGGTAAAGAGAGTTATGACTGAAGCATACTAACCATGATTGTTTCTGTGCCCTCTGTCTCTCATTAGATGTTTTCTCCCAATGGGCTTTTGGTGTAGGATGTTGGAGAACCAAGAGCAGGAGGTAAGAGTGTGATCTCCAGGGAACAGGTGGGTAAAAATTGGAGAGGGGTTTGGGAGACGATGCAAATCATTGTTCAGTGGCATTCTCTTGATAGTAATCATCTCTGCATGATTCTGATAAGCTCAAAACAAAGCCAATAGAAGAAAACCACTAGTAAATGCGTTACTGGGGAATGAGATTCTATTTTGACTTTTTCCATTGTTGGAATGTACTAGAATTTAAGCTTCCCGAGGGCAAGGATTTTTGTCCCATGTTCATGTTCTACTAGTGCTTTAAAATAATACCTGGTGCATAGTGAGTGGCCAAAAAGTATTTGTTGAATTGAGTGAATGAATGAGTGAATGAACAGTGGTTCATGAATGGAAAAATCTGGCAACATGTGTATTGTTAAAGCTGTCTTACTACGTGACTGAGCTGAAGCTGAAGCAGCATTTTTTTCTTACCTCCAGGAGGTGATCACTGTGCGTGTTCAGGACCCCCGGGTGCAGAATGAGGGCTCCTGGAATTCTTACGTGGATTATAAGATATTCCTCCATGTAAGTGCTTCAGGCTTCTCTATTGGGGGCGACTCTGCAGGGCTGAGGGCCAGAGCTGAGGTGGAACCTGTTTGGATGTTTTTGACAAGTCTGCCATGGAAGAAAACGAGGGTGGGAAGAGAGCTCAGGATATGCCTGAGAGCTGCTTTCAGGCTGCCTGCTGGCACCTGGTTCCACTACCTCTGATCAGGACTGTGACCTGGTGACTTGGATCCTTGTTGAGAGTAATAGTGGGGTGTTCTTGTGGGCTTTCTTTTTTTTTTTTTTAAGATTTATTTATTTATGCATACAAGAACTGGGGTATAGGCCAGAGGTGCAGGGGGTGAGAGGATTCACCAGAGACAGAGTGGGGAACAGAACAGGCAGACTGACTGAAATACACTGCTGAGAGGAGCAGCGGGTGAGACAGAAGAGGTCTGCTGCGCCCTGTGGGTAGTTCCCTGGCTGGCTAGGGATCGAATTTGTGCTGTAGAGGCTGTGGATAGCTTCACAGCACTGTGCTTAACCCCTTGAGCCTCCAGGGAGGCCCTCTTGTGGTTTTTCTTCCACTAAACCCTTTTCATATACGTCTGCCTATAGACCAACAGCAAAGCCTTTACTGCCAAGACGTCCTGTGTACGCCGCCGCTACCGTGAGTTTGTGTGGTTGAGAAAGCAGCTACAGAGAAACGCTGGTTTGGTGTGAGTTTGCTCTTGCTTCCTTCTTGGGTCTGAGACTGGCTTTCCAGGTGCTTACTTGGGAACTGGAGTTTACAGTAAAGAAAACTGGGCAACATGCCAGGCACTAAGGCCATTGAGAAATGTTTTCTTAAATTATGTTGTCAAGAAAATGAAAAAAGCAAAGATTGAGTTCTTATTTCTAGTATTTTGACGTAACAAAGCCCTACAAATATCAAAGATATTTTTATATACCCATTAGTCTAGGACTAAACAAATACACTGCTAGCCATTTAAAGGTGGTTATGATGGCTGTCAGAAACTTTCAACACCTTAGACTTATTTGACAGGTGATTCCCCCCACTGCTCTTTTTTGTGCTGAGCCCCTTTTCCAGAGCCATACACGCCGAGAACCTAGGAACAGCAGTACTTTCCACTCCTTACCTGTGTGATACAAATAAGTCCTAGAAGTAGAGGTAGTTTAGAACAGTGATTCCACCACAGCTTGGTCACCAGACACTCCAGGGATAGTGCCTGTGGAGGAGCCTGCATCAGTCAGCATGTGGGGCTGGTGAGGCTGCTGTCATGGGAAAGGCTCTCATCAGACACTTGGTATTTCCTGACAGATTCTGCACCCTCTGGCCTGAGCTATTTTTTTCACACCCATGTGCTGTGCTCATAGGAAAGGGTGGGGAGGTTTAAAGAGTTTGTTAGATGACTTGCTGCAATTCAACTGCTTCTAGAAAATTCCAAGTATGTGACCTTCTGGGATTAGAATAGGTAGTCTATTTTACATGAGCCCAGCTTTTCCATGTCTCCACATCTAGGTTTCTTCCTTTTTAAAATAACAGTTGATGGAGTGGGTTTTGTAAATGATGTAGTACAGCAGCGTGGAGTTTGCAGTCATAGGCTTGGTTCCAGGACCAGCTCTGCTGCTTACTACTGTGAGACATTAAGAAATTTACTTAACTTCTCTATTTCCTTGCTACTAAAATGGAGACACTAATATCTTTCTCATAGGAGTTTTTGGAGGATTAACTGAAATAAGGTTTGTAAAACATCAGCAGTGTCTGGCACTCCCATCCCTCACCCCCACCCTAGCACTACCACTTCTTAAGACCTGTGCCTCAGGGGCTGAGATGACTGTCTTGGATATTGACACATCACATAACATTCATTATGTGACCCCACAGGCCTGTACCTGAGCTTCCTGGGAAGTCACCCTTTTTTGGCAGCTCAGATGAGTTCATTGAGAAGCGACGACAAGGTCTGCAGCACTTCCTTGAAAGGTGAGTGGACATGGCGGCTAGCACTGGCCACATGTGGACGGGGACGGGGGAAGGTGCTGGGCAGGGTGTCCCCTGGGAACATGTTGGCACATTTGTATAGATGCCTTTCTTGTACCCTGACGCCTCTGTGCCACTCAAACCAGAAGCCCTTCCAAGGATGGCGCTAGGGAGAGCGACTCGTCAGTCTGACCATCTGTGTTGTCCCACTTTTTCTTGCCCCAGAGTCCTGCAGAGTGTGGTCCTCCTGTCCGACAGCCAGTTGCACCTCTTTCTGCAAAGCCAGCTCTCGGTGCCTGAGATTGAAGCCTGTGTCCAGGGCCAAAGCCCCCTGACTGTTTCTGATGCCATTCTTCGCTATGCTATGTCAAACTGTGGCTGGGCCCAGGAGGAGCGCCAGGGCTCTTCTCACCTGGCCAAGGGAGACCAGCCTAAGAGGTAACCAAAGTGCTCTTCGGAGACACGAGGGGCTGGGATGACAGTGACCGGGTCAGCGTGTGGCCTGGTCTGATAGAGCAGGTTGCGTCAGAGCCTGGGGAGCCTTTTAGAAGCGCCCGGTGCTCCCTGTGCGTGGTTCTCTCCTCTGAGCACAAGGGTCCGTGTTCACCCGTCCCTGGGTAGCAGGGACTCTGATTAAAACCTGGGGAGAAAGAGAGAAGCCTTCCTTATTTGTATGTTCTGTTTCTTCTCCTTTTTAAAATAACTTTACTAAGATATAATTCACATACCATAAAATCACCCCTTAGTGTACATGTCAATAGTCTTTATAGTCCCCATGGTCGATTTTAGAACATTTTCATCACTCCAAAAGAAATCTCCCCATCTTCCCCCACCCCTGGCAGCCACTAGTCGACTTTCTGTCTAGGGATTTGCCTGGTGTGGCCATGTCACACGAGTGCAGCCTTTTGTGACCTTCTTTCACTCAACACGTTTTCAAGGCTCATCCGTGTTTGGGTGTGTTGATATTTCATTCCCTTTATGGCCACACGATGTTCTATTTGATGGCTCTGCCACCTCCCGTCTGCTCCATGTGTATATCCATCTATTTCAGTTTGAAATAGATGACACCCCTCTTTCCATTGATGCCCCTCTTTTCCCTTTCTCACTCTTTTCCAGTTGCTGCTTTCTTCCAAGATCGAGCAGGAGGAGCTCTTCACCACCTCCTGGGGAAGACAAGGGCCATTTTGAAGTGTGGGCTCCTGTTGTTGACTCTGAAGCTCCTTCCTTGGAGAGCCCTCCTCCCCCACCCCCCTCCTCACCATCATACTGTGATTTTGCAAGACCTGATGGGGAAACCTCGGTGTCTCAGCCTGTGGGGAGGGCTGCGGGAGGGGACCCTGCTGTGCCTTTGGACCCTGGTCAGTTAGAAGCAGTTTTGGAAAAGTGAGCTCTAGTCAGATCTCCTGTCTGTGCTCTGCGGTGGAGGAGAAGATGCAGGCGAGGAGACCTGCCGGGTGGGACTGGGCCCAGGGTGGGTGTGGGGAGTTGGGCTGCTTCGTGTCTTACAGTTGCCTCTGCTCAGATTCAGAGGGCGATCTGACAACTCCTTAAGCTTCCCCCACAGGAAGCAACACTGTGCCTGTGTTTGTAAGTTAAACATGAGGCCCAGGGGCTGCTGGTTTTGAACAGAATCCCATGTCTAACCTCCTGGACCCGAGTTTCTTTAAATGTTTGTTTATGGGCCCAGGGTCAGTGCCTCAGGTGACTGGTTTCGGGGACCTGTACAGGCAGATTCTAAGCCGCCATGTTGAATATTGTCCCTATAGAAATGCTTGCATAGTTGTACCCCCACTGGCTGTTTGGCTGCAGTTCCCAGTTCTGGCTGCAGCGCCCGGAGCACTTTGTTTCCAGGAGGCTGGCTTCTTGCCTACCTCCTCGCATGGACAGGGCCATGAATATTTATTCTCCCACTTCCTTGCTTTCCCCTCATTAGTGCGACTGAACAGAATGGTGCTGTGACTCCTGCTACTGGGGTGTCCTGCAAATCCCAAGACAGACCCTGTGTGGCCTGGGACCAGTGGGATAGCTCACAGGACACCCACAGAAGAATGAGTGTTGGTCACAGCTCGAGGCAAGGCAGCCCTCACGGGGCTTTGTTTTGGCGAAGGCTGTCCTGGCCTGTCACCGTCTCTTCTGGTCTGAAAGCAGAAAAGCAGAGACAGGCCTGTCTTTCCCGCAGGCTTAGCGTGGGCTCCTTTCTTTTCTGAAACCTTTTCTTCTCCCTTAGTCACAGTTTCCTGCCTCCAGGGCTTCAGCCACCACAGCATCCCTCTGCTGTGTGGTGGGGAGGAGGCCGTATGTCCTGTCCAGGGGGGCGCACAGCTTTGTTTCTGCCTGGAGAGAGGGCTCTGGGGATGGAGGCAGGAACAACACGCCCGCCTTCAGACAATGAGGCATTCTGCCCTCCTGCCGCCTGATTCCTCTCCGCGAGAGCGGGGCTGGTGGGAGATGAGCGCCCCGGGCGTTCCGCACGGCTCTGTGCTTAGGCGTGCATGCGTGCGGCTCTCCTTGCCCACTCCTCCCTCTGGCCAGGGCACCCTGTCTGTGGGCTCTTTCCCTCCCAGTCTGTGCTGTGGGACTGTCATGGCATTTAGTTCAGAGTTGAGGGGCTTTGGCCTGAAATAAAATTCAAGTATTTAAGACTGTTGTTGCAATTTGTGTCTAACAAGCTGTAGCCGAGGAGGAGGGAGTGAGGGCTGGCAGTAGTTACTTTCATAAATCATGAATTTATCAGCGTGGAAATAATGGTTCAGAACGGCACTGCAGCTCTCCTGCATTGTGTGTGGTGCAGGTTCACCACTGGAGGAAGGTCTGTCTTCCAAAGAGCCGGATCCAGCTCTTCTCACAGTTACAGGCATGAACCTTGTTAGGTATAATTTACCTGATGTTGCTTCCCTCTTCGCAGCCTGTCTGAGGTGCCAGGTGCTGAAAGAGAAATAAAGTTTGTCAACAAGCAGATGCAAAGCCCTGGCTGGGACTCATCCCTCTTCCCTGCCCATCTCCCCTGGGTCTCTCCTTTATATGATGCAGCAGAGCAAGGCGAGGATAGAAAACCTACAGAGGCAGGCAAATCCAAAATGTCAGAAGAAGTTCATTTAAAAGGGGAAAAAAACTCCACACACAACCCTCACAAAAACCCGACAGATGCTAAGCTAATGGCATCCGCTCTGCCGATTGGTGGGGATGGTTCATGAATATTAATGAGTCCAATGCTCCAAATGGTGCAGCTGTGAACCCAGCTGTGCCTGAAGCTCTCTGATCTCGAAACTTCCAGACAGGAGCCGGAGGTGGTCTGTGTCAATTCCCTACTCAGCCAAAAAACAGCAAGCTGGGTTGGCCTTCTTCTGTTCACTCCTTTTCTTCCCGGAGTTGGTGCTCAGCAGCTAGTTCTGCCAGCGGGATAGGCTGCTGGGACAGCAGGAACCACTCAAAGACAGGGATGTGATTTTTCTGACTCCCGACTTTTTTAATGATCCATTAACAGTGGCGCATAGAACAGTACCTCGGTTACTCCAAGGCCAGGGCCCATCCCCTCACTGACTCGCATAGACCACGGGAGAGGAAGGAAGGGCTTTCCTAGTAATACAGGCCTGAACTTACCAGAGAAACATCACAGGTGGATTTTCCTCTCCATGCAGGCGGTGCCATTTGCCTCTCACATTTTGCTCTGTCCCTGTGTGTAGCGACGGTGGTCAACAGGTGACCCGTATCCTGGAGAGCTAATCGTTTTTGCAGAATGAAAGTATTTTTCGGTTACAATGTGGGTTCCAGGTAGGTTGTGTGCCTGATTTAGTGACCTCTGGCAGCCGCCTCCAGGGCCCAAATCTAGCCACCCCATGTGAATCAGGATAAGTGTCTCCAAGATCTGAGTTTGGTTCTGTTTGGTGGAAGGAAGTGAGTGTGTGTGTGTGTGTGTGTGTGTGTGTGTGTATGGAGGGAGGAGCTGGGTTTTCTCGTACAAAAATATTTCAGATGCATCCCTTTACTTGACCTTAGTGCCCAGGGAGGACAGTAGGGCAAGTGTTATGCTCATTTTCTACCTGAGGATGGCTTTTTAAAAGCGTGTTTTTATGTAGTAAAGTTTATTCAGGTGAGAGGTGCTTTCCAAGCTCTTTAAGGCAGGTCTCTTTTCCTCCCAAAAGCTAAAATAAATTCAATCCTGTTTAAGGGGAAAAAATTCCTTTGCAGGGCTTTACAGAGTTTCTCTAGAAACCAGCCCTCAGTTTTGTGACTAAGGCCTTAACTCCCTACCAAGTTCTAGGCACCTCGTACCCTCTGGAGCTTTACTTGGGATGCAAGCATGACTTTAATAATCCGATTCGACCTTGGGTTAGTTCTGTGTTAATGAATTTGCTTGTGTCCCTCAGCTCTTGCTGAATATTCTTAACTCCTAGGGGTGGGGAGGACAGTGGGCCTGATGATGTGAAGTGGGGTTGGAGGTAGAAATGGAAACAGGCCAGCTCCTGCCTGCCTCATGGAGGCCACGGGAGCATTCAGTCAGGGCTGGAGTGGCATCTGCGGATTTATACGTGAGCAGCCAGCTGAGACGCTGCTGAAGCCAAGCAGATAACCACTGCAGCGTGAGATAGCGACTTCTGAGTCAAGCCTGAGCACTGATCCTAAGCCCCTTCCTGGCGGCCTCTGCCAGTAGGGACTCAGCTCTGTAGAGGCCAAGGTGCTCTGCTCAATGTGACCTTTCTCTGAACTGTGGATGAGCACCCCTCTTCCGAACACTATGCCTTCTTCCCTGAGGGCTTCCTTACCTCACTTTGGAAGTCCCCTTAACCACCTCTTATCTCTCACCTACTCCTTGCCTCAACTCTTCTAAGGAACTGTTTTAGGCACTGCTACAAAAATAAGCTATCTGCAGCCACCGCAGCATGAATTCTATCCCCGGTCAGGGAGCAACACACATGGCGCAGCAGACCTCTCTTGACTTGCCCGCTGCTCCCCTCAGCAGTGTATTTCAGTCAATCTGCCTGTTCTGTTCCCCACTCTGTCTCCGATGGATCCTCCCACCCCCACATCTCTGGCCTGTACCCCAGTTCTTGTATGCATAAATAAATAAATCTTTAAAAAAAAAAAACCACAAAAATACAAGCATGCATTTGGTTTACCAAGAAGGCGGCAGAAGCGTCGCAGCTTACTAGAGAAATAACTTCTTGGAAGTATTACCAGCTTCAAGGTGGCTGGACTTGGAGCTGGAAAGCTGGAACCTCAAATTTCAAGATGTAGTAAACATGGACGATTTACACTCAAAGGCAGAAGGAGAGCCACACATTTTGGGGCACACTGTACCCTGTTCAAGGAGACCTGGTCCACTCCCATAAGCAAAGGAGGAGAAAGACAGGGGTACTTACCAAGCAACGAGAGGAGCATGAATAGCAAGTGGGGAGAGATGGTAAAACTAGAGTAGGAGAACTAAGAGACCACTTGAAAGTCTTTAAGGTGTTTTTCCCTTGGAAGGACAGAAGCACAAGATGCTCTGGCATCTTTGGATTGCGGGAAGTCACTAGCCAAAATTTCTTCTCTGTGGCTCTCAAGCCCCTCCTTCCTGTCCTTTGGGCCAGTGCTTCACCTTCACCCCACCCATTTTGGAGGGGCTGGCTAATTTGGGTGCTTCCGTAAGTGCTGTAGCCAGGAGGGTGTCTTCTCCTGGTGGTAATGCTGGTGTGGGAAGCCAGGCCCACCAGCAGCTTGACCCAAATCCCTCCAGCAGAAGGCCCAGAAAAGTGGGAGCCCGAGGCGGTTTGTTGGAGGCAACACAACCTGCCTGCGCTAAGCTACGAGACTTAGATATATTCTACCAATTAGGGCACATCTGTTCGAAATGCTGAAAGGCGGGCACTGTCTCTTTAAGAGCCATCCCACTCCTCCTTGAGTGATGAGGGCTGGGAGCACAAGGGAGTCAGATGCTGATTAAACAGTCCTACTGCCGAGCTCTGTTAGAAAATTACTGTAATTATGATCTAGTCCCAGCAGAGGGATGAGTTCCAATCCTGCTAATAACCCTTCCAGGTGCCTCAGATTCAGGCCCCTGGGACACAGCATCGACAGGGCTTTGGCACCAGGGCTGCGATGGCCCGCCCGTCTGGCCTGTGCGGGCACAGACAATGGAAGCACCGGACCCCTCCTCCTGTCTTGGCCTCCCGAGAAAGCAGTGGGATTTGTTTTGTTTTGTTTGCTTCTCGATGGACCCCCAAGGGTTGGGAGTCATTTTGCATAAGAAAACTTTCTCCCTGAACTAAAATGAAGAACCTCATAGCGGGGAGAAGGCAATCTGTCCTGACTTACCCCACTGCTGGCTGGGTACCGAATCAGCACAGCACCAGCCCAGCAGGTGCAAGGCGGAAGGGCCAGAGCAGCCCCCCAGCACCCCGCTAACCTATGTCTTCTGCATCGTGTTTCTACCGACTTGTATTTCTTGCTGTGAAGTAGTCCACAGCACTTCACTTGGTCCTGATCAAGAGTTTCAGGGCGCCCTTTTAGATTTCTGCTGCAGAAAAGGGAAATACAACAAGTAACTCTAGAGCTTTAACATGAGATTCACAGTAATGCAGCTCTGTAAGTTGGCAAGTATGGGCTTATTTATGTAAGCATTTTTATAGCATAAATCTGCAGCAGTGCAAGTGGGCAAGATGCTTGTGGAGCACAGGGGCTGGCTTGATGGTTCTTAAACCCTGAGGAATTCACGGCACTTATGTTCCATGTCTTCCCAACCTGGCCATAAGCTGCTTCTTATCACAACCCAGTGGTTAAAGCATAAATGTCCAGAAGGCCTGGGCAGTTTCTTGGGGCTTGCTCCTAAGCACACCAAATGCCTTGTATCCATGGTTCTCAACCAGGGATGATTTTGAACTCAGGACACTTGGCAATGTCTGGAGACATTTTTGATTGTCAGAACTTGTAAGAGGGCAGTACTACTGGCATTTAGTGGGTACAGGCCAGGGATGCTGCTGAATACCCCAAAAGTATAATGTGATCTGGCTTCCAATGTCAGTAGACCTGAGGTTGAGAAACCCTGCTATACTAATAGAACAACCTCTGAGTTCTGCCCCCCAAGCTTTTGTGCACTGCCTGGAGATGTTGAAGAAATGATCTCAGATCTCTAGAGGCCAGGCCCTTTCCCAGTCATGCACCATGTCAGTGACAGGCCTGGCAGGGTCCCTCCTGGTGGCAGGCATCCAGTGAAAGTAGGTGGTAGTGCCTGTGCCACCTTGGTCATTCAAGGCAGAGAGATGCCAGAGTGTCTGACGGTGGGAGAGAGGAAAGTGTTCGTAGTCTGTTTTCTGTTCTGTTCTGGGATGTGGGGATGAAAGGCGGCCAGCTGTTCACCATCAGGTTAAGAGCGTCTACAGTGGAACCAGATGCCCTCTTTGAGGACCAGCACTAGAAGCTCTTGGAACTCACTCCCATCCCAGGAGGCAGGAAGAGGCCTACTCTTGCTCAGTGCCACAAAAATGCTTTCCTGGGTGGCACTATGCCAGGTGGAGGGGTGGCAGGCTCTGATGGGGCCCCCGTGAGGGAGCTGAACACACACAGCTGCTGACAGGCAGCCAGCCCCATGGACAGCTTGACGCCAGGCTTCTCAGAACAGCCTGGGCCTCAGGAAAGGAAAACGTGGTTGGCAGGCTTTGCCTAGGCACAGGTCTGCAGGGGAGAGGACTTCATTAGAAGGGACATTGCCAAGTGTCAGATCAGGAGAGCCAGGTAATCTCTCTCTTACTGTCCATTCCCCTGGTGGCTGGGCAATCCACTTTGCCTTGTTTTTATGGTGACCACTCATCCTGATTCACACTTGTGGTCTTAGCATCATTATTAATAACTCCCCTCCTCCGTCTCAAAGGTGTCTTCAGTTAGAAACTAACTCATATGGCCACCCTGTTAATGGTGCTTCATTTTCCTCTAACATAGTATTTTTTTGGCGGGAGTATTTATAAAAGATTTTTGTAGAAAATGCTTAACATCTTAAAACGAATCAACTGAAATCAACCCCAAAGAATTGTCATCAAATCACATTAACAAGAACCCCGGCATGTTTTCTGAACTGTTAGTTTTCGGTAGGGAAATAGAATAATTCAGATCCCTTGAAAAAGAAAAATCTCCTTTTGGTTGTCAATTTAAAATTCCCTACCCAATCTCTGTAAATTCTAGTGGGAAATGAAATTGCTGGGCAGGAGAGATGGGGAGGAGCAAGGGACTATGGTAATCCACAAACTAGAAAATTAGCTTGAGTCACTGGACTGTGTAGCAGGGATAATCCTCTGTGTAGATGGCTGCTTTTTCTAAAGTCAGCTCCACAGATTTTGCTGGTGCTCTGGGAATTAACAAATCAGCACCACTCAAGATTTATCCTTCCAGAGCTGCTCTTGGTGGGGAGCCCTAGGAGGAGAGCTGCTTTGGCTAAAGATTAAAGCACCTCTGTTCCTGGCATCTGCCAGGTTTAAGATGCAAAAAACCGAAAAGGACTTTTAAATTAATTCATTTTTCTTGTTTTCTCAACCCCATCTTTCTCAGACTATTTTTTAGGGCACTGGTATCCGAATCCCAGTCCCCCTCTGGGATCCCCTCCTTAAGTCACTGAGGTTGGTTTGGACAGTCAGAAGCACGCCCTTGCTCTTTGCATCGACACCACTGCTCTATGGTGACACAAGTAACTGGTATGAAGTGTGGATTTTGAAGATGTGTCACTGGCTGTGTCTGACCAGTGGAATGCCAGTGGTTCGATAAGCAAAGTGGCTGATGGAAGATTTCAAGTCTTTCATTTCCTTTCCACAGCAGATTTTCTGTGACTTTTGTCCAGGTTACCACTTTCAGAGCCTCTGTTTTGCCCCTCACAAGACTAACTGGTAATAAAGGAGGTGCAACTGAGCAAGCCAAAGTGTTAAAAAAGAAGCCAATAACTTGAAATCCAGTATGTCACTTACCTCTCACATGCGGATCAAGTGTCTGTTTCAAGCAGAAGGGAGCAGATCTCAGCCTCACCTTTTTACATCTCATTTTAACTGGAATCAAACTGGGTTTAGGGATGAGACTTCATAGGCTCTCTCTTCTCTTTCCCATCTTTTATTCACTAGAGGGAAAGATGTAGTTGGTTTTGAATTAAATACAGATTTGTAAGAGAGATAACAGGCCATCGTGTGGGAAAATTTAATATTGAGGTAATTGCAACCGTTACGCTATTTTGCTATTTGGATGACAGAGAAAACACACTAGAAAAATGTATTTCTTTTAATGTAATATAGCTGAGAGATTGCTTCCAGAGCATTTAGAATTCCTAGATATTAGCTTGGACAGTGCAGGTCAAACTATCGTCCCCAGGTCAGATTATCTGGTGGATGCCAGTAAGTGCTGCATAAATTGTTATGTATGTATGTATAAAAGATAGACATTTGCTTTTTAAATTTACCATCTTAGCTTTCTTATTTCCCCACTTTTACAGAAAATCAAGGAAGGAAAAAAGCCTCCCCCTTTCCAGGTCTCCCCTATTTCACATACCAGAGCAATTAGTGGCTATTAGAAGCTGCCCTACATATAATGTGGTTACTTAAATGGTTTAATGCCCCAGTTATCGAGTTAGTCACAGGCAGTAAGGTGGGGATTTGGTTAGTGGAGTCAAACAGAGAGATGGTAATCTGATTAGCCAGTTGCCTTCTGAAGCTATTGGCTAGGATGGTGGCTGTCAAATTGAGTGAGGAGCCCTTTTGCTGGGTCAAGTTTAGCTTCAGACAAAAGATCCCCTTTGGAACTTGCCCCTCACGGAGAATGCCCTTCAGCTTGGAGATAGTCCCATCAACCCATCAAATTTGCACTACTTTTTCCTGCCTGTCATAGACAGATGCATACGGACAACATTCTCAATAGGCCCATTCGTTTATATCTTTTAGGGCCAATGTATTTTCCTTCTAAGTTTTATTGCTAGAGGGTCTGAGTGTGGTACCTACTCTGCAGTGCAAAGAGGTACTAAAAGACCTTTACAGTTTGGCAAATGGTTGTTTCCTCGGCTCTGCAGGCATGGAACAGACTTGGGTCTGTCACACTGGGTCCCTGGGTGTTCTCCAGAGAAGGAACAATTTGGGGGCATTGAGGGAGATCTTTAGAACACTGCCCATTGCCTTTACCTGTAGGTTGGGATTGGTGCAAATGTTCCTAAAACCGAGGCAATTGGTTCTTTTTGGTACATCTGCTCATATGCTGCCACCTAGTGGTTCCTTCTCCTTTAGCACCCTGTGTAAAGAGGTGACATTATGGATAGATCTGTGTTGCCTTTTATCTCACTCTCCTCTTTTCCCCTCCCAGACCTACACTGTCTCATTTTCTTACCTCTTTACCCATCACATACACAAACAGCTTCCTCCTCCTACTCCTGAGTCAGAAAATCTGGAAATGGACATCTGGCATTCATTTTGAGAAACTTGGAATGCTAGGAAAACAGCCCTGTTGGCTCCCTGGTTTCTCTCTTTTGGCAACTGGGCTTTCGCATGGTTATTACAAGGCAAGGAGGGTGACTGCCGATTCAGCACACTCTGCGTAGGCAGTTTTGGATATAGACTTTCTATAGTTTCCCTGTTGCCCATCTTTCAAAATGTCTCACGTAGAGAATCAGGCAATGAGAGCTAATTCTTATTGAGCAGCTACCATGTGCCAGGCATCATTCCAAGTGTGGTACATGTTAACTTCTTTCACCCTCTTAATCACCCAGTGGGATTGAGTATGCCCTTTGAAGGCAAGGGAACTGAGGCATACCAGGTAAAATAATTTGCCCTAGAGAACTTTTGTAGTAAATGGGGAACTGGGATTTAGTGCCACGCTGTCTGACTCCAATAGTTTACGCTCTTAACCACTATGTTTTGCTGCCTCTTCAAAGCACGCACAATCCAAGTGCCAGGTAGAGGACACAGGGCTGTAGATATGCAATCCCTCCCCCAAGGCACTTCCTCTGCTCCTACCTGAGACTTGTTGAGACACAGGACACCATGGGGTTGTTAACTGAGGCCTAAAAGGAACTCTCCAATGTGCTGAATCCAAAGTTCTGCTTTCAGTCCTGTCTCATTTCAGAGACAGAACTTAAGAAAAAACCACCAAGTAGGTGACCAAAGAACGTCTAAGAAGCCAAACAGAAACCAGGCCAGCTGGGTTTCCAGAGATGATTCTTCCCCGCAAGACAATGGCAAGTCCTCTTCTCTTGGGCTTTTGTTTTCTCTCTGGTCATCTCTTCCTACTTTGAAGGTGAGGCGAATGCCTAGAACTGACATTTTGATACTATCAAAAAAGAAAGACACCAACCACCAAACATGGTAAGGAACCAAATCTGAAATTTATTTGTGCTTTTCAAACCCAACAACCTGCAGCTTCCTCTTCCCCAGGTGACCTTCTCTCTCATCTTCTCTGTGACAAGCCTGTAGGGATGGCAGAAATGAGCGTACGGACTGGTTAAAGGTGGGATGAGCTGTGACAGGCAGAGTTAGGAACAGTTGTGCTGCTTCTTCCTACTTGACTTATGGGGTTCAAGTTACAAGATGTCAGAGATCAGGGTCTCTTTAGTAAAGAATTCATGGTGTTCTTGGGGTGGTGGGGAGTGGGCACTCTTGATGATCAATTTCTTCGGTCAGGCAGGACAGAGAGAAGGATATATGTCCTAAAGGAAGAAAAGTGCACAAATTTGCTTTTGTGATTCAAAAATAGAAGATATACAGAGGCAGAGTAAAAACTATCTTCCTTCTACCTCATCTCACAGTCATGCAATTTCTCTGTCCTTGGAGGCAACCAATGCCATCGTTTTCTTTCTCCTTCCAGAGATAGTTATACATATTTAAGCCTCTGGAGATTCCCTTTTTATACAAAGGGAGAAAACTAGCCTGCCCTTCATTGCTGCTTTTTTAAAAAGTGTAGCAACATATCTCAGAATGTATTTCATGCCAATGCAGAGAGCATCCTTTTCTTTTTCACTCTTGTATAGTATTCTATTTTATGAATATATTACAGTTATTTGTCTTGATCTGTATTGAATATTTAGGTCACTTCCAAAGGTTTGCCATTACTAACAAATAACCACTGTGCATGTGTGCAAATGTAGCTGCTGGATAAACTCCTAGAGGTGGAATTGTTGGATGGAAGAAAATGAGTGAATAGATGAAATAAAGGAGTGTGAAGTAAAGTGAATTAGTTCAGACAGAAAAATTCCAACCCTTCTGCATTCCTGGCCAAGACATGGAGTCCTCACTGGGAAAGTCATCAAGTCAAATGTTGAGCCATAGGCCCACACTGGAGCTTTATGGTTGTAGAGGGCATTGGAGAGTAAGATCTAGCCTTAAGTATTTTCCTGTGAATCCACTTGGCTGCTGCCTACAAAAGTAGGCCCTGCCCTGGAAGATTCCAAAGACAGCTGTATTACTGTTGCACATGGATTTGAGAGCTAGGGATAAAGAAATGCAAACCCATCCCTGTGGCAAAAATTTCTAGTTGTCCCCCAATATCCATTCTCCTGTTTTTAATAATGACTACCCCCCTTGACTTTTACATTGCACCTTTGTAGAACAAAGGTTTCCCCGAAGTGCAGTGTGCACAGCTTCTGGCCAATGCAATGCAAGCAGAACAGTGTGTGCAACATCGGTGACGTGTCCTTTAAATTTTTTCAAAAAAATTATTGTTGTGTAGAAGAACTGGAGTGTAGGCCAGAGGTGCGGGGGGTGAGAAGATTCATCAGAGACAGAGTGGGGAGCAGAACAGTCAGATCTACTGAAATACACTGCTGAGGGGAGCAGCAGAGGACGAGACAGGAGAGGTCTACTGAGCCATATGTGGACTAGCTCCCTGTCTGGGGATCGAACTCAGGACACAGAAGTGATAATGCTGAGACTTAATCCCTAGGCTACCAGGGAGGCCCCCTGGGACGTGTCCTCTTAAAGAAAAGGTGTGCCTTTCTTTCACTGTATCTTTCTGCCAATACAGACATATGAGTGGAGCAGGGACAACCATCTTGGGTCATGAAGTAACCTTGGAAATGTTAACCACACACAGTAGAGCAAAAAGAAAAGCCACCTGGCACCTGGATCTCTTGGCTTTCTTATCTCCAGATATTTACAGAAGAGAAAAACAAACCTCTATGTTAATGAAATCATTATTATTTTGCATTTGTTGTCACTTGTGGATGAACCTAAACCCAACAAACACAGTCCCCCAATTTAGGAAAAACAATTCGAGATTCTTCTTCTTTCCATGGTGTGTCATTAGCAGTCCCTTTTGGAAATGAAACGCTACTTCACCAGTGACTCTTATCCTTCGCAGAGAAACAAAGGCATGGCCAGCGAATTTATCAGTGATGGTTCCGATACCTGGTCTTCATCACTCTTCCACTTCAAATGCGGTGGTGAGGTAATCCTTGGGGACAACCCCAATGATGTTGTTCAGCTCTCCAACCCACCAGCCATATGCATTATACTCCTGAGAAGTGAAAAGAGGATGGTTTCAGTTGGAATTTGGTCATGCGTCTGTTAATCTCTTAGGGTAACTACTGGGGGAGTTCTGTTGGGTGTTTTCTTTTCTTTTTTTTTTTGGATGACACTATTGATATGACTTGTTAACACCCCTACAGGATGATCACATTTAAAAAAGTCATTTCGAGGAGGAAAGCAAATTCTGCTTTCATTTTGTTATTTTCCTGTCTACAACGTAAACTGAGTGCATTTGATGCTATTGCTGAACCCAAAGAACATGTCTTTTACCAAGCAGAGTGGAATGGCTTCTTCAGAGAAAGTTGGGCACACCCAAGATGCCAGAACACTGAAGATATGCAGGAAGTCAGGTCATAGTTCAAATCAATAATATTTACCAAGCATCCTCTATGTGCAAAGTGCTGTTTGAGATCCCATGAGATATATAATGATGAATCAGAACATTGCTTACTCTCTGGGAGCCTATAGCATAGAGTAATGGGTTTTGGAGTCAGACAGACTGGGATCTAATCCCCTCTGGTCATTTAGTAGCCGTGTGACCTTAGGTTCTCCTCGCTTTAACTTCCTCTTCTGTAAGAGTAGAGATAATTCCACCCACTGCACTCCCCACCATGGAGTGGGGCTGTAAGTGACACCACAGAGTCAAACAACGCAAAGTGCCTGAAAAATAGTAAGTGCTCTCAACATAAGGGTTCTCTCCTGAAAGTTGTGGGAGGTTGGTAGGCCCATCAGCTGTCACTGGCAGGGCATTGAGAGACACAGCGCAAGAAAGGAGTCTGGGGGCCTCCCTGGTGGCAAAGGGATTAAAGTCAGCGCTATCAAGCTATCACCAGCCACTGCAGCATGAGTTTGATCCCCAGCCATGGAGCTGTCCTGCATGGCGCAGCAGACCTCTCTTGTTTCGCCTACTGCTCCCCTCAGCAGTGTATTTCAGTCAATCCACCTGTTCTGCTCCCCACTCTGTCTCTGGTGAATCCTCTCACCCCCCACACCTCTGGCCTACACCCCAGTTCTTGTATGCATAAGTGCTGCACCTCCCCCTGCAGTGACCTTTAGGGCTAACCGGCCCTAGGTCCGGCTGGGCAACCAGCGCGCAGGGGAAGAACAGCAAAACCCTACCTGCTGCACCTCCCCCCGCAGTGATCTTTAGGAATGGCTTTCGCCACGGTCCCTAGATCCGGCTGGGCAACCAGCGCGCCGGGAGAGAACAGCCTGAAGCAGAGGAAGTTCAGCGGAAGTTCCCTGAAAAGGCAGAAGCTTATCAAAAGATAACGACCACCAAGAACCACTACAAGAATGCTAAAAATCTTATCCTGTCTTTCTAGAACTACAAACTTTAATCCCTTATCTGTCTTTCTAAACTTCCTTCTTCTATAATGGTCATTGCTTGTTATGTAGATCACCTCCCTGATGGTGATAGACTGAGCCCATGAGCAAGCTAATTTCATTGATATTCATTCCTGTGCTTTTGGAAAACATATATATACTGGTCACAAACTCAAAGAAAATTACACTCAGATTTTCACTCTTGAAGTGTGTCTGTTTGTCATTTCTTTCACCGACGCCCTGACCACCCTGCACGCTTCTCTCAACCCTGAGGTGGCCTCATCGTCTACGGCTGTGCTGGTCCGCGGCAGGTGGCGCCCGAACGTGGGGCCCCGACATTTCATTTCGTTTCATTGAGTCTTCCACCCAAAGAAGAGGTGAGTAACGAAGAGATAGTGTTGGGTAAGCTATCTCCCTTCTTGTGTGTGAGTGTGAATGTGATTCCCTTAAAATACCCTCTTTTAAACAGTCAGGGATAGGATCCTCACTGGAGCGTCCGGAGCTCGCTGATAAAGGATGATCAGTTTGAGATAGTGAGAAGTTTTTCTAAGAGTGAATGCTCGTGGTGCTGTGTGTGTGTGAGAGTGTATGATTACGGCTCCACTGGCCTCATCGTCTACTGCTGTGCTGGTCCGCGGCACATAAGTAAATAAAAAAATCTTAAAAAAAAAAGGAGTCTGATTTCTCAGCAGGCCTAGCACCATGGACCCTCTTGAAGCAATTTCTCCTCTTAGCGTCTGTGATCATCAGACTCTTCTGATTTCCCTCCTACCTCACTGATTGCTTCTCCTCATTCTCCTCTGCATATTCATCTTTCTCCATTCCTCCTTTTAAAAAAAATTATTTTTCCTTATTTATGCATACAATAACTGGGGTCTGGGGGGTGAGAGGATTCACCAGAGCAGTGTGGGGAGCAGAATAGGCGGATCTACTGAAATACACTGCTGAGGGGAGCAGCAGGTGAGACAGGAGAGATCTAGATTCCTGGCCAGGGGTAGAACTCATGCCACAATGGCTGGTGGGATAGTGCTAATTTTAATCCCTGCACCACCAGAGAGGCCTCCTTGATGCACACTCTTTCAGTAATCTCATACACCTCTGTGGGTTAGCCACCATGTCTGTTAACCACCCACAACCGCAGCTCCAGCACGGATCTAAGTTGGATCTGAAGACCCAAGTGCATTTCATTCATGTTGCTCAAATGCAATATGTCTTAAATGTAAACCCTCATCCTGTCTCTGCCCCATCCCCATGCCCAAACTATGTTTGCTTCCTCTGTTCTCAACCTCGCTGAGTGGGGCTGCCAAGCATTTACCCAAACCATAAATGGAGGAGCTGTTTCTAATTTCATTCCACTCTTCCAAATAGTCCTTGAGTCCTTTCAAAATTCTCCAAAATATTCTGGACTCCATCCACATCTCTCCATTCCCATCCCCAATACTGCAGACTCACACCACTGTCATTTCACCTGTGGACTACAGATGCAATCTCCGCCCTTGCTCTCTACCAATCTATTCTCCATTGTGCAGCCAGAATCTTTCTAAAATGCACATCGATAACATCACTGCTCTGCCTTACCTTTAAGTGGGTTCCTACTGCCTATTGACAATTTCTTAACATGGTGCACAGGCCCTTTGCGACCTGGTTCTGCTCACTCCCCAGGATTATTATTCACCCCCCACACTTAGTGGACCCTTAGTAAAACAGAACTCCTTTTAGCCACTCCAGGGTCAGGGCCACAGACTCTCTCAGCTTGGAGCCTTTCCTCTGTTTGTCAGACTTGGCTTCCCTGTTCCCTTTCCTGGAAGCTCTGCCCTAAGCAGCCCTCAGATCTCAATTTCCTGAGTCACTCTCTAGAAGCCTCTCCTGCCCACTCTCGCTGTGTGTGGGGCCCCAGCTTCATGGTCCTCTGGGCTGCACCAGGTGTGTCCCTGGGTATGAGTTCATCACGCTGCCTTGTATCTGCCCTGCCTTTGTCTCAATGTCAGTCACTAGATGGAAAGTTCTGTGAGAGCTGGGAGATCGTTGGTTTGGTTTGCTGTGTATTCCCAGCACTTAGCATGGTACCCGGCACGGAACAGGACCAGAAAAATACTTGTTAAATGAGGTTATGAAGAAATGAAGGGAGCAGTGGGAATTTAGACTCTCAGCTGAAAACTAACTCAGAGTCATTCCCCTGGTGGCTGCACTGGTTGTGGCAGGAAGAGAGCAACTGCCTTTAGAGACAGTATCCCCGAATGGCTCCTAAATACCATGAAGAGAGTCTCAGGTGGCACAAGGAGCGAGACTATTGAGTTGATCCTAAAAGGAACAGAAATCAACTGTTTAAAATCAGTCTTAAATAAATGGATATGGCCACAAATGGATATACCCACAATCCTGCGCTGTCTCCACCAGACCGTCATGCCCCCCACCTCCACCCCTCACCTCCCCCCCAACCTCTCCCTACAGCTGCAATGCCTGTGGGAAATAACTCAGAATTCCCTAGCCTACACCTTTCAGGACATTTTAAAGCTCCTTTTAGTACAAGTTATGTTACTGTCCATTTTCCAACACTGGAGTTAGGGCAGCTTCTGCCTTGAGTTTTTTGTAGTGTTGCTTTGTCTAGCACATGGCTAGAATGCCTATGTCTATAGGGCCTTGCTGAGAAGGGAAACATCTTCCTGTCTCACTCTAACTCATAATAACTCCAACTTTAGCTCTTCTCCTATCTCACAGGCATAGGCTGGGCACAATGCTGTCTGACAGTCTTTTGCTTAGTCAACTTGCTTAAACCTGTGTGAAGTGTGGTCTTCTACCTGCCAGATGCTATTGTCTTCATCACTAGAGGGGCTCAGACAGGGAACCACTCAAGACTCCTGGCTTTGACTCAGGCTTTGCAAACCCCTTCAGCTGTAAAGCCAGAGGTAGGGACTGAGCTTGGGAAGGCGCTCCCTGCCAACTTGAAGAGGGTGCAAACAGGAGGCAGATGAGGCACAGCAGGGCACCTGCAAAGGCCAGTCTCCCAGTCAGTGAGCTCTTGCTGGAGGGGTACACTGACCCTGCCGCCCGCAGACGCGGCTTCACCACTGTGGTGAGAAACGAAATGAGAGAAATCAACCCTCTGCCCTTCAAAACAAAAGAGCAGGCAGAAGTGTAAGGAGGATGGCACAGTCTCCAAGACCATATGTATCCTGCTGGGGGAGCCTGGGAGCTTAATCAAAGCACGGACAGGTCTTGGGATCTGACTGTCTTTTCCAGATTTCATCCCGTGGCTGGACACCCCTACAGGGCTGCAGGGCTGAGATGTTTAAAGTATGAATGGAAAATTTCTAGCTTTCTCTTCCACTACCACCCCCCTCCACCCCATGCATTGCTCCAACCCAGTCTGAACACCACGAGGTATTTTAAAATAATTTCTACTTTGATGAATTGCTGGGGAGTCCACAATTGCTCATAATCAAAGGGAGGAAAATGCAAATGAGATCCGGCCGAGAACTATCACCACCAAACGTTTATTTCACTGCACAGTGCCAAAAAGAATTAAAACAACATTAAACTCACAGCAATCATGTTTAAGCCCTCGTTTCCAAGTGCCAAATTGCACCACTCTGGATCATACAGATGTTCGTTAATTATGCTAATTTTTATTAAACTATTAAAATGGAGAGAGTACTGGCTCAG